CTAAGCCCCGAAGACCAATATCTAATCATATGATCGCAGGTTTGAACGTCACGTAGTCGCGCTGACATGCAATATAGACCTCGCAACGTTGTGCTACTTTCTAGTGACGGGCATGTTCAGTGTGTGTAGATGACCTTTGAGTCTGAGCCGCGTCATATGTGTCTGAAGTATTCTATGTTTGGTGCGGTTTTTCAGATCTAACATCTAACCGGCCCACACGATTGACTTGAACAAGTCTGCAGCCAAAATTACTCTTGGAACATTTAAGAACTGTGTCGGTGGGAATCTTTATTTTGTAGGTTGTTTTCCCCTAATACCATATGATTTTGGAGTATGTTGGCTACGAATTTAGACTTCCTCTTTATAAGGAGTCCATTACTCGGTGTAGGGAAATTGAGATAGTAATCTATATTCGCAATGGAAAGAAGGGGAAATATGTAATAAGGTGAGGAGTCTTCTGTCTTAATATCTCTAATTATATAGACTCATCTTCTTCTCGTCACAATTAGAAGTGATGCCATATTGGCAGCGTGTGACTGTCGAGCCTCTTCATTTCTCAAACTCTCGAGTGTAACAGATGGTCTTTCTTCTCTCTCACCTCATCAGATGAAATACAAAGAGCATATCATTTGTGAATGCGTAGGGCAAATCCGAAACCTAGCGAGTGTGAACTTACTAATTACGTCAATTGTGTGGTTATTAGCTATACATGCTTATGATGGTGATCTTTGGCATTATTCTCCTGTTTCTTGTGTTTTTAAACTGGAATATCTCGTGATTTTAGTCGTGTTGTTTCCAAGACTTCCGTTTGGTGTGACGATAATATATTTAATGGTTTTTTCCGATCATTTTAATCTTATTTTTGGTTTACGATAACAATTACAGCAATGATGAGAAATATCTCACTTTTTCTCTTACAATTTTCCTCCTATAAATTGATCTGTTTTCTACCTCATTAATGTATGTTTACTTCGATTTTCCAAAATTTCAAGATTACAACCGTGAGTAATGTTTATATGACTTCGTGATAGTTGTGCACCTCTATTTTGTGATTTGAAGATATTTGCTTTGTATGGTTTTGTCATTGGGAATTGTGGTGTTAAGGTGAATGCTATATATGGGGCCTCCGTCGTCGAAGGGTTACGGTGTGGCGCAACTCAGAGTGCAAATGGAAAAGATTACTAGAAGGTATCTGGTCTATGGAGGTAACAGAGGATATGATGATAGTTTCCATGAACACTAGCTCGCAATGGCATTTTCTCTTTGAAGGGGAAGTAATTGGTTTGCAGGACGGGGAAGCCTGGGTGTGATTACCTTGTGAGTGCTAAGCTAACAACTAAAGGGATGCACTGTGTGTATTTTGACTTAAGATATGTAAGTGCCTGAGTATGAGACCCGATGGACGTTAATAGTTGCCAATATGAAAGCTGTGGTCCTTCAGTCAAATTCTGAGATTCCTCTTGGTTGATATTTTATTACTTTGTCATTATACATTTATATAGTATTGAATAATTATATATTTTATAGGTATTATGTGGCATATATATCCACTTGTGAGCATACCACTCTCAATAAGTGCTATTGTTACTTAAGGACATAGGCACACTTACACCACCTTCAAAGGAATCATTTGATCCGAGGGAGGTCTGCCGTGTATACACGGTGCATCGTGCGTGGCTTCCAGTCCTTCGCAAGAATTTTCGTCCGTCCTCAATCGGTGGGTGGGACCGCGCGCGATTCTGGTTAGTATTCACTCTCTCGATTTGTGCGTGATAATTTTTTAGAGATCTCCATAAGTGTGAGTAGAGTATATCATTAATAATTGGACCTCCCATTGACAACCTACAATGAGATGTCCTCTCTCTCTGATAGAAGGTGGATTTATTTCATTTCTAATTTTTTTTGGTGAATGATATTGTTCTGTACATTTATGTGCTTGCATTTTAATGGCTTTCGTACCCTTGGTCGTTGACTGAGAGTATAGCACCTCATCAATGAGTGTCTCATCTCAATTTCCTTCTAGCCAAGACCCCTCGTCGGTGAGGGATGGTATAAGAAGAGCTATAATGATAGCATAAAAGAGGTGGGAGATCGTGTATAGCCTCTGTATCCGAATCATTTAAGTGTTGCCCTTTCTTTAAGGCGTCTCACGACTTGAGTGGCTAGCAAGAGAGACTAGCAAGAGCTTTTTTGGGACTGCTGTGAGTGAAACGCACCATTAATGCTTTATATCCTTTGTTTCTGTGCAAGGAAATGAAGAATCGGCACCAAATGTTTGTATTTGCCATGGAAGGTCTATCAAGAGGACTTTTCTTTTATTGGTGTGTCAGTAGCCCGGATTACGCAAATTAATATATAACCGGAAATCCTACTTATATGCTCCGTTTATAAATGAGCTGAGATACCTTAGAGTAGCATACTTGCCACCAGTAGAGAAGAATTTGAATACTGATCTGTTAACAGGAGTTATTTATTCGTAGGCTGATATCTTGTGACTAGGCAATGCCAGTAGAGCAGTGGTATACTTGCTAAATGAATGTTTTCATGCTCCAATCTGACTCTCGCCTTGAACTCTCTATGTAGATCAATTCTGTAAGTAGGAATACCATTTAGTATAGATATATTTTAGTGGTCTAATGTATTGCATATTTTATTTAAGTGTCTACTGATGAGTTTGATATATCCTTCTATTTTTTTTTATAGGTTATAGTGGTTTGATCTATGTATTTATTCTCACGTATTGATTTAAATTATTGCAATGAAAGTGGTATTGGAATTGTGTATACAAAGTTTTTTTGATGAAATACATTGCTTCCATAAATATTATTGTATAGAATTTCGTACCATTATTTATTGTATTTTTGTATATTCCTGAGAGGAAAATTCCTTTTAATTCATTTTTTGATAATCTGGGGCTAAAATTTTATGCCCAAAGGGTTGGAGTAAAAAACCTGTTTCTGGACTAAAACCTAAATTTTCTGGGCTAAATATTTTTAAGTTTTAGATCAGGGTTGGAGATGGTCTTAGCAGAAAGTCAGATCTCGAGCATCATGGTATTTCGGAACGCCATTTCATAGCTTCAACCATACAAGTAAACAGGCAGAACCTCACTCTCCGGGCCAAAAATGGGTCATGGCTATGAACTGAAAATTTACTAGATAATAGGCTTTCTGGGTGAAATTTTTACTCAATTTTCTGAAATTTTTTGTCAGCACGACTATCGGGCAAAGAGAGGTACCTCTTTTTCCAATATTAAAATCTCTTTAAATACCACTACAACCTCTTATATATCTTATATAAATCCTGCTGAAATAATCTGCAGGAAAGATAATTCACAGGTTTTTCTGTTGGCAAGATGGTTTATATTTAACTTTCTAAATCAATGAATTTCTCTTTTCTTTCAAGAGGCCGGTTGCACAAAACATGGGCTAAATGTGTGCCAAACTCTCTAGGCACTTTTGATTTGTAGTTTTGCCTCCACAATACTTCGACCACAGGGACAGGCTGCACAGCTATAAAGCCAATTGCTGGCAATTAAGTGGCAACCTAACCAAAACCTAGTAAAGCTCAGCTAGTGTATGTGAAGCTCCTAAAGATGGATGCTTCCAATATCCGATGCCACTGGCTCAACTTGATCTTAAAGCCTCACTTTCTGCTTATGGTGGCACAACTTTTATATTAAGCACCAACCTAATCAGTAGTTAAGAACACATGCAAGTGTTTAAAAATAGACTATGAGGCAAAACAACCCGAGTTGTATTCTCCACCTGTTAAGCTTGAAAATTCGCCACACGTGAGGAGCGTGTTGAGAATGAATCCCACATTGATGAGAGAAGGGATCAACTTCAGGTAAAAAATTATTTACACTACAATTTGTTGGAATATTTTCAACAATATTAAGTAGAAGCGGTGGGTTTGTTGTGCAAAAACGGTTGCCATGTTTATGAATACAAACTTGAGCAATTTGTTGGTAACCACCGCTTGGTTTGTATGGCAGCCACCTATAAGAATCATGAAAGAGATGTGTTTCTTGGTTATTACATTACTATTAGCTGTTATTAATTTCTAAAGCATGACAACTCTTGATCAAGACTTGTGTCTGAAACCAAGTGGTATTGTCGAATGGGTATACACCTTCCGAAGATACATCAACCTCTATAACATATTTGAATGGTCAATAATAATCATTCTTTCTATTCGTTAATATTCCTCCTCCTCCACTTATATATAAAGCTCTAGAAACTAAAACCTACAGTATTATAGTTTCTAGTTAAATCTTGAGCGTTCTTGTCTATCTCCTTGAGTGTTTACAGTTTGTCTTAGGAGTGTGCAAAACTTTGACAAACAGTAGGCGTAAGGCCGGAATTCATTGTATCCACAAGGCCTATTAGCATATACCCTTCGCACCCTAGATGTGGGCAATAGAGTCGGAAAGATAGCATATTTATACACACCTTGAAGCAATCTTTCATCCTTCATCACGAACAGAACCCACATGTTAACAAAATTTCTCCAACACAATGGCTAGCACATATGTAATGTAATGGCAGAATATTGAAATGGCTCCGTTAGTACTCAATATCTGCATAAAAAAAAATTCAGACACTCTACAACTTGGATACTAGAAAGATTGTGGTAAACTGAATTGGACTCATAGGCTGTTGCCCATTTGTCAAAGATGTATTTTCTGTTGCCAACGGCAAGTGTTATGATCCATTCAACCAATTAGCCCAGATGTATAACAAGAAATTAAAGAGCCTGATCATGGTGCTTAACAAAGATCTGGAGGGTGCAAAATTTTTTTACGTAGATACATACAAAACAACGAAAGATATCATCCAAAAATATGTGTCATCTGGTGTGTGCGCTGTTGTTTTTTTAATAATTGATAGAATTGTCTTTATTTAACGGCTTAATTTAATTACCTTGCTTTCCTGTGTTTAATTCATAGGTTTTGAGGATGCAACGAATGTAAGAAAATGAGATTATCAACGAATGTATTGATAAATAAAACATAAAGCTTCTTGATCTGAAGTTGTGAAAAACACTGAAGATTCACATTCAACATGAACTGAACAGTAATTATACGAAATTTACGGAAAAAATGGTATGACAAACTATGAGCACCTCTTGCTCTTCAGTCTAATGCATTGCAATTCTTTCTGACAACGCCTTGATTCCCAGTTAAAACTCCTGAGTTGGAGAGCTTGACAAAGGCAGAAGAAAACGCCTGAAAGAAATCATCCTGATTCGCAGCAAATCGCTTGACAGCCATAGCTGTGCGCGGGTCCATTATCATTTCAGTATCAACTCTGAGGACCCCGTGGCCTCTAATTACATTCTTGTAGTAGTGGTTGTCAAATGTAAGTGTTGTAGGGTCATTAAGAACAAAGCTTGCATTTGATGCCAAAGACCCTTGTGGACAGTTTAGCCTTAAAAACGATTCAAACCCAGGTGCCATGCCTTGTACTTGGCCACCTTCATCTGCTTGGTTTAGACGATTTAGGATGTTCAAACAGTGCGTAACTCCTAGCGTGTGGGCACCTGCAAAAAATGAAACACTATGTAGTCATATGTGACGAGAGAGGTGGACACCTAGTTATAATTAACCAGTTACGCCTAGGATTTTCTCCCAAATTTAACATATCGGTTTCTTAAAAGAAAGAAAAAGGTTATTTAATTTGATGGTAATACCCATGATGGCCACAGATTCTTCAACTGTCATTTCTTTATTGGCAAATAATTGAAGCATGCCATCAACTCCAGTAGTGGCAGAAGGAAGCAAAGAATCTGCATGCTTGTAGCTTGGAGCAAAAGGGGAATCTCTCCTTCCCAAAGCAACCTTTATTTGCGGCCCTCCTGACACAACCACAGCTTCTCGAGCCGCCAATACAAGAATGTCAGCACAAGATACCTGTTGGGGACATTGTAATTCAACCATTGATTTCAGTATGTTTATCGACTCCCTCTTTCGGATGCCGAAGTTTTTCCCTGCGGCCATCTCGGATGGCACGTTGTTCGCATTCAGATCCACAAGAATTGAAGCATCACAGCCCTGTAATTACATTGTCATGCATTCTTATTGAGCAAACAACTGCACTCAGACATGCTAAGCTGAAAAATAAAATATATAAGACCCTAGTTTGTTAATTTTTTTTTTAAAACATGCACATCAGCCCCATTTTGGGAACCAATGTCTCAAACGCCTAAACTGGTATTATATACACATTTTTTTAGCAAGGGTATCAAGTTAAATTCTTAAACCAAGACAGGTGGTCCACAATAATGTTAAGGAGTTCAGAAACGTTAGTAAAGGCCCAGGAAGAGTCAACTGTTTTGTTTAACCGCCTAAATATGTGTGTATTAAATAAAATTGGAGGAAGATTACCTGAACTTGGCAATCATGGAACATGAGCCTCAGAAAAGCAGCAGGAGAAGTGGGATCAGTAAGAAAAATAGGCTGGATGGCAGCTCTAACAATGGCTTCAACTTGTGGGCATGAATTCTCATAGAAATTATAAGAAAGGCCTTGCCCTTCAACACAAATGCCGAAAACAAAGAGATGTAGTCCTACAACTATAGCTATCAGATCCATTGTGATGATTGGCTGCAGTATTATAATTAAATCCTAGTTGGAACTTCACCGCTGCTGGTATTTGAAAACTCAGGACTCTGCCTGGCTCTGCCACACCCAGTAGCCAGTAGGTGAACTTAAAGAGAAAGATATCAACTTTTTCTTTTTTCTTTTTTTAATATGTTGATGCAATTATGAACTTGTAGGACTTTTGTAGCTGCTAATTACAAGTAGGTGCGAAAAGAAAAGGTATTATAAAAACAGTGATGGAAATTGGAAACCTCAAATTAAAGGGTTTGCGGATTAGACAGGGATATTAAATATTTTCTGTCAAATGGTTTTTGCCATGCCAAATAATTGCCTTTAATACATTGCATGGCATCGATCCGAGGAACAATTTATCCTTTTTCAGTGTCTGATAATCTTGTAAGGTAAATGCTAGAATTCTACTTATAGTTTGCGACTGATATTTTTTTTCTTTGATGCAAATTTCTTATGATATATCCTTAGTTTTCATCCGGTTGAATTTTTTTTAACGCAAAATACTTGTTTTCTTGGATGTAAAGAGTCATGAGTGCAAAATTTCTCTTTTTGTAATTATGACGAGTTACTTTTGCATGTAGCATGGTGACCTACTCAACTATCATCATATAAAAGAAAAATGTTTTCTTATATAAAATCTCAAACAATGTTCCTTACAAAACACTAATTAGTAAGTAGTCATAACCGAATTAACTCTTTACACCCCACTCCAACTACATCCCACCCTTTTACCATAGGACTCGCTAATGATATAGTTCCTACAATCATCATAGTAATCGGTAGAAAGCTTTATCTTTCGTGGTATAATTACTAATTAGTAGAAAATTTTACTCAAATCTCACCAACTTAACATAAATCAAGGTTCGATTCCTTTCAATATTCACGCTTAGGGGTCGACGTACGTTTCTAAATAATAAAGGAGCAGATAAGTATGGTGGTTGACTAGAGAACAACTTTGAAGAGAGCGAAGAGAGCACATGCCCAATTCATCATATGTTTGTCAATAGCAGGAAATTAAGTTAGCAAGGTACCATGGCTCCCACAAACTTTGATTATTTTTGCTTTGTCAAAATCAAACATGCAATGCCCTTGATAGTTGATCACATATATTCATATCTAGATCCCCACAGTTCATTGTATATTTATTCTTGTAAATTTAATTTGGATTGAGGCATTACTGCTCCCTGCTTCTCAGAATTGCTGTATATGTTGGATCAAACCAAAAACAGAAACGGCACCCAAAAGGTGAAATCAATTGCAGACTCTGTATAGTTTGGTCCCTCTTGGTTTCGAAAACGACTTGCAACTACCTAAGTAATGAAACAAAGCATCATCCACATGATCACCCAAACCATATGTTTGTGTACAAAAGGCATGGTCTTAAAATTACTCACCTGTATTCATAACAGGTTTTTCAATGTACTCATAACACTCATCACGTGGTATTATTTAACTCAAATTATGACACATTTATGTTTTTAGTATACCTTAAAATTTAAATCAACATCATCGTTCACTCTTAATATTTATGTGTGTGTGTGTGTAAATATATATATATACACATATGTATACATATGTTGAGTGGAAAGATACATCACGTGACAAGTATTCTAAAACACACATACTCAAATTATGATACATATTTATGTTTTTAGTATACCTTAAAATTTAATATATCAACACCATCATTCACTCTTAATATTTATGTGTATATATATATACATACGTTGAGTGGAAAGATACACGTGACAAATATTCTAAAACACACATACAAACTTCTCCGCATTAAGAATGCAATGAACAAAAATAGGGACACTTGTCAAGTTGGGAAAGTAGAGACTCTGAAAGCGGCTGAGATTTAACCTAGCAGCACCGCTAGCTGTCAGAGTCAGCAAGAATGTCATGAGGCTGTAACTTTTACCAGTGTAGATCTTCTTCTTCTTTGATATACTGTCACTGCTTTGGGTTTTGGGTGGTTTTTCAACCACAATTGATCATAAGACCCTCCTAATCTCTCTACTCTTCCATCCCCTCTTATTTAAACGATAACGGTTAAGTCACGTCAATATTTTATATTGATTTTTATATAAAAATAATAAGACAAAAATCAATGTGTAAAAGCAGAGGAAAGAAATGGATGAGAATAAGAGAGTAGAGAATCCTCCTCCCAGAAGAATAGACCCATCCTGCAAATGTGGATTTTGGACCAAAAACTTGGCTCTATACCCATTTATGAAGTCTGACAAGTCATATTTTGGAGTTTTGAGCCCTTTTCATCAAGGAAGGGTTCACTTGTTCACCAATTGTTGTTCCATCTAATTTACTTGACTCGCTCGTTCTCTCTCTCTCTTTCTCTCTCTCTCTCTCATTTAAGAAGTGCGACGCAATTGTTTATCTAACCTGTAAGTATATCTTTTAACTTCCTCGAAAAATCTTTCAGCTCGTTTAGAAATATCTATAAAATGATTGAAATCTCTTTAGAAGATGAGACATTTTTGAAATTAATACTTAATAAAAATATAAGTGAATCATAGAAAAAACGCTTGAAGTGAATCTTAAAAAACCAATGCTTAATAACTGGTGTTTCTTGCATCAAGTGTTTTTGGAACTCAGAAACATTTTATCAAAAACGCTTTTAGTCATTTTAAAAGTACTTCCAAACAAGTCTTTTATTGTTTTCAGGCCAAATTATACTAATAGTTTTTTTTTAGGTACTCGTATTTTAAGTTTCATCTCACTAGTTTTTTTTTCCCTTAGGGGCCGTTTGTTTGCCCTCACTAAAATTCATTGGACTGGACAGGACTAAGGATAAGTCCAGTCCCAAGTTTGTTCCCAGTAGGGATTAGATTTAATGAGACTAAGTCTCACTCGCCTAGACTAAATCATGGGCTAGCCAGTCTTAGCGAAGCCCCCCAAAAACCATGGGACTAGCTAAGACTATCCTCTCTCTCGTCCTCGTCATGCTCAACGACCACTCCCGACAGACTCCTCGTCATCTCCGATCTCCTAGATCAATCATTAACTGTCTGATTCGACTCTCTTCCAAATCCATTTCACAACCAACTTTCATATAAAATATACCAAATTGAAGCTGAGAGTGACAAGATTATGATTCTACCTGAATCGAGGCCAAAAGGTGGTCAAATATGGATGAAAAATGGCCTGGAAGTCTCGGCCTATTTGGGCTTCTTCGAATCCATGACAGATTCAAGCATGCAAAGATAAGATCTCGGTCCAGGGATGGTGAGGATTTTTTTGGCGGTGCTAACTTCATCCGATTCAACAAGGGTTGGCCAAAAAACAAGTTAGGAAACCTACAACTCGTGGGAAAAAATGAAGCCGTGAGGTTCCGTTCGAACAACGCATAGCTAAAGAGGGAGGACAGAGAAATAGAGACTGGAATCGTTAAGGAGTTTGACCGGGAATAAGAGAAAGACAGGAATCGAGAGGTCTGGGAGGAAAAAAAAAAGGGAGAGGGTGGGACGAAGAACTAAGAAAAGAGGGAGAGAGTGGGACGGAAATGGTAGGAAAAGATGGAGAAAAAGATAAGATCATAATAAAATATTAATAATTTATAGATTAAATAATATAATATTAGAATTTGTTATTATCCAGCTTCTTAGTCCAACACTGCACCAAACGCTTCACTAAATTAGTCCAGCTTAGTCTAGTCTAAGCCAGTTCAGCTTAGTCCTTGAAGCTAGTCCAATCTGAGATAGTCCGGCGCAACAAACACACCCTTAATGTTTTATTCCATTAGCAATAGTCCAATCTTCCAAAGGAAGCAACAGCTTCCAAATTGAGAAACACTTGAATTTTGTATGCCACACTCTTGATGTTCAAGATTAGCTTTTGTGCTTAAGCATGTTTCAAATTATACATTTCATATTTTATTTTTTAGGATTGATAAAATGTAGTAAGACAATTTGAAGCTCAAAAATGACCATTAAAACATAGGAGACACAAAATGGATGTACGGATTGTTTTTGTTTATAACCATTATTTTTTGTTACAAAGCGCTCAAAGTTGGTGGCAGATTCTCTGCCCTCCCACTTCATGTGCCGTCCTATTTTGTGTAGTCACGGTTAAGCTACGTCAATATTTTATTTTATTTTTATATAGAGATTATAAGACAAAAAGAAATAGTAATATAAAATGTTGACGTGGCTTAACCGTGACCACACAAACAGGAGGGCACGGAAAGTGGAAGGGCAGAGAATCTACCACTCTAAAATCGAAAAGTTCTCAAACTTTAACATGATTAAAGCCTAAGAAAGTTTACACTCACTCTATCATAATTTGGAATTCTGAAAAAAAAAAAAAAAAAAAAAAGAGTTTTACGAAATCTCCAAGCTCATTTTAAGCAAAAGAAAAAAAAACAACATTATGAAATGATTGATGTAGATCAACAAGAAAATTGAAGAACAAGTCAAAAAGCATAAATCAGGTCAAAGAATCAAAGATTTGCAAATATGAGCTTTGGAGTTCAATTTGGGTCCTTGACCCATCATTTCGAAGAGAACGGCAACGCACATTAAACGCATCACTATGTTTGCGACATATGGGTTTTTCAGCCAAATTTTGTTGTTTATAATGTTTATGTTGATGCACAAAACCGGAGGAGTCTTGGAACAACGTAAATCCGACCGTGAATCTGCAAGAAATGTAAATAACACAAGATGTATCGTGGTTCACCCCAATATTTGGGCTACGTCCACACTGATTATTGTATTTCTGAGGGAGAGAGAGCTCTGAATATAAGAGTGAGAGATTAGAGAGAGCTTAGGGCTTAGGGGATGTGAGGAGGCTTCCGGATTGTGAGGGTCAGGGTGAGGAGGCCATTTTATAGAATAAGGGCTCCTCCCATTTTTACATATTTGCCCCTTCCTTCATTACATAATTACATTTAAGTTCCTCGAGTATTTATACGAGGTCTAAATACGGATGCCCTAAGTATGGTACAAACAGTAGTCCCCCAAGTCTTCAGTCAAGAGAGTCTTTTGGCTGGAGACTTGAAATTCAGTCCATGTGTAGGCCGAAGTAACCAGATGTCGTCTAAAACTAATACTCGATATGAGGCGGTGCCCAATCGGAAATGATGCTCAACCACATGTTGCGAGGC